ACACTACTCAGCAATAGAAAGGAATGAACTACTGATACACACATTTTGGATGGATCTCAAGGGCATTACAGTGAGTAAAAAAAGCCATCTCAAAAGGCCATTTTGAGAATGTTATATAAATGGAATGATAAAGTATGATTCCATTTATATAACATTCTCAAAATGGCAAAGTTATATAGGTGAAGAACAGACTAGTGGTTGCCAAGGGTTAGGAATGGTGGGGAGGGAGGGTGGTAGGTGTGACTATAAAGTGGCAGCACAAGGGAGATCTGCGTTACGATGGAACAGTTCTGTGTCTTGATTATGTCGGTGGTTACACGAGTCTACATATGATAAAATGACATAAAACATACACACTCATTGTACTAATGTTCATGTCTTCGTTTCGATATTGTACTATAGTTATGGTAAGACGTAACCATTAGGGGAAAGTGGGTAAAGGGGTAAAGAGTATATAGGACCTCTCTACTATCTTTGCAACTTCCTGTAAATCCATAATTATTTCAAAATAAAAAGTTTAAAAAATTCCTGTTGTGGAAATATAGCTTGTATACATGCAATTAAAAATAACAACAACAACAACAACAAAAAAGTTAATGTAACTGGTTATAAAGAACAATGAATTAAGAAATGTTATTGGACTGCATCCCTGTTTAAAAAGAAATTCATTTTCTGGTGAACAGAAAAAAACTGGACGGACTAGGAGCTTGAACACCCAAATTCTTGTCTTCACTCCACTAATGATTTTCTAAGTGATTCTGAGCCTCTACTTTTTAATTTCTAGAAAAAAAAAAGTAGCCCTTTTTTGCCTTTTTTCCAAGTTTGTTATGCCAAACGGAATCATGTCTGCAAAACCCTGAAGTATGAGCAGGCAGTAGTTGAGTTCAGATCAGAAAGACCTCACTTCAAAACCACAGTTCCACTCTGGACTGGCTCTGTGCTCTTTAGCAAGTTACTTAATCTCTCAAAACCTGTTTCCTCATCTGTAAAACTGACATGATAAAAGATGTGATTAAGTAACATATTTCAGAGGGCCTGACCCTGAAATAATTCTGAATAAATACCCCATTAACTAAATATTTTTCCGAAAACAAATTTTTAATTACTGTAAAAACTATTTGATCAAAACTCTTCTGAGAAGAAAGGTGGTTACAGATGAGCCTCTATTTAACAGGGGTTGCTGGTTACTGAATCATTTTACTCACAGGCCAACTATCACTACAATGTCAACAGATGACCCAACTTCTTTTGTTTGTAATGATGACTTCCTAAATTAATGAAACTCTCAGCTGGGCTTTAAAAATCCTACAACCTTATGAAAAATTTTCATTGATAATTATTTCATTTATGATGATTAAGTTTGAGCTACATATTACATGTAGTACAATACTCTCTTAGTTAATAAGACTATTTTCTTTTGATTTCAGTTTCTCCATTTACCTCATCCATTTTGTTAGTGTAAAAAAATGTAAGTTTCCTATATAATGAATATTTCAAAGGTAGAAAAAGAATCATTATTTCATAAAAGTTCTCCTGTTATGCCAAATAGTTTATGTTCAGATAATGAAAACTGACTTAACCATCTTTTTATCCAGTGGTCACTGGCTTGGCAATCTTCACTATCCAGAATACAACACTGAACTTGGAACTAAAATCCATGAACTTAATGCCTATGTACTTTATTTCAAGATGCCCTTGAGTCCTCACTCAGAGTCTATTTACTCTTATTGAAGTAGAATTCCAACTTTAAATTTTTATGACTCTTTGATTAGTTCCTGGTTTAAATAAATCAGTGATTAAAAAAAACTGGGGGGGATTAACCAAGTAAATCTGATTACAGACTGGGTTTTAGATAATATTGGTCAATTTTATTAGGTTAATAACAATATTATGTTTATTCAGTAATGGCCTTTTTAGAGATGCACACTAAAGTATTTAAAGGTAAATGTCATGATGTCTGTAATTATTTATAAATATTTCATAAAAAATGAAGTAAATGTAACAAAACATTAATTATTCCATCTTAAGGGTTTTTTTTGTTTTTGAGGGGTTTTTTTTGTGGCTGGCCGTACAGCAATCTTAGTTTTGAGAATGTTTATTATGCTATTTCCTCTTCTTTCCTATTTAAAATTTTTCATAATAAAATATATACATATATGTGTATACACACACACACACACACATTTTGGCAGCTGACCAGTATGGGGATAAAAAAATTTTTTTAATGTTTTTAAATTCTATGACAAAGATTGCCAGTCTGATTTTCTAACCCATAGTAGGGCAGAAGCAGTAAGCGGAAAATAAGGGGAGGGCAGTTGCAATGCGGCATGTTGAAAGCTGCAAGGAATGCAAGCTGATAACCTGACAGTGAGAGAACAGACATCAAGACTACACTGTACATAAAATGCAAACATAAGAAGTCAGTCGTCTGGGGTGCTTAAGATAGGAGCTACCACAGCTATCCCTGGAAGCATCTCGACATTACAAAGCAGTATAATAATTAACACAAATCGAGATTCTCATCTTGTTTTTTATTACTGACTGCCTAACCACAGTACTTTATCTTAAAATAACATTACCAAAGGTTCAGAAGAAAAAAAAAACAACCATATATAATAGCAGAACTCTGCAACTATCAATATACACATATAATTTTGGCCAATATTCCCAAATGTCCATTTCAAATGAACAACTTTCTGTACACTGCTTTTGCATTTATAAAAATGACTATCTTCCGCTTGGGAGTGCGGTGGCGCTCCCGCCGAGGGTTCGGATCCCACATACAGACCGGCCGCTCACTGGCTGAGCGAGGTGCGGGCCCAACACCGAGGGTTGCGATCCCGTTGCCGGTCCCGGTCTGGTACGGGCGCGACACTGAGGGTTGCGATCCTTTGCCGATCACGAAAAAAGACTATCTTCCAAGTTCTTACTTATCACATAAAGACAGACAAGGAATGCATAGAATGCAATTAATGAATCCCTTCCTTACTGCAAATTAACCGATTTTTCACTCTTACACACAGCACTGCAATGAACACTGCTCTGCCTACAATTTTTTCCTTCTCTTGGATTATATACTTCAGATAGTAACCCAGAAATGTGATTAGTGGGTCAAAGGGTATGAACTTATTACCACGCTGCATTCCACTTCATACTGCACCACCACCACAAGAGCATACTCATTCCACTATGACTTTATCCTAGACATTGGTTAAACTTTTATTTTGATAATTCAATAGCTGTACATAATACCTAATTTTAAAATGCTAAGTAGGACAATTAACAAAAAAAATGTAACATTTTTCCATATGCTCTCTCACCAACAGCATTTACTTTCAGTGACTTTTCATAAGCCATTTAACCTCTACGATGTGTTCGTACATCTCCAAAATGAGAACACTGCATCAACTTCACTAGTACTCAGGGAAGTGAATATTTAAAAAAGGACTGTTTCTCACATGTGAGACTGGCAAAATTTCAAGACTGAGGTTTTGGTATTAGTGATATCACAGGGAATGGGCATTGTCTTGTTGCTGTGAGCATGTACATTTGAAACTAATCTGACAATGTCTATTAAAAATTATGTGTGCGTACTCCTTAACCAAGAAATCCAAGTTTTAAGACTATCCTACAGAAACAAAGGCAGTAGTAAGAAAGAATATATGTTATGGTTAATAATGACAAACTAGAATAACAGAACCCCTTAACTGCCTATCAATATGAGAATAATTGAATAAATTACAGCACATCCACACTATGGAATATCAAGCAGGAATTGGAACCAGTGTATTAACTTAGAAGGATACCCATGAGATACTGTATGTAAGAAAGCAAGCTGCTCTGTAATAATCACATTATAATTGTTTTTTAGTTTTTAAAAGAAAAATCCTACATATGTATTACAAGCATTTGCGTTTATCACTGTAGAGGAAGGTGCAGAAGATGATAGCAAACTAATAACAATGATTTCTTCAGATGTGAAAAGAAGGGGAAATTATTCCCTACTTCATATTTCTCTATATTATTTGACTTATTATTTGCTTATTGGTAAATTTTAAATGTCCATAGATAGGATTTTTTAAAGGAAGATTGTACTAGATCTCTCTCAAATTCTAATTAACTCCCAAAGCATACAATTCTATGAAGCAAGGTTCACAAAGAGGTCACTGAATCTTAATGAATGGTTAAATTATGTTCAATACACCACAGGAGTACGTAATATAGTTCTGTAAGGTTTAAAACAAAAATATGTAATATTTTAAAGCACTGACACAAAGAAGTAGAAAAAAAATTAACTTATGTTAATCACCTCAGCCCTGTCCCCCCAAATTCTGAATAAATGAAACATTGTATTATCCAAATCACTGAGCTATGCAAAAAATTCCATCAAGAGTACATGAGAATGTACACTGAACTCTTCTCCCACTCGCTCCTAGATTCATTCTAGAGAAACGGCACCAATCATGAAGAAAAGGATTCCTATACTGTGAGTACTCAAAGAGCAAGAGTCTTATTAATCTCAGTTTCCTGCCCAAAAGAAAACAGGAGAAAGCATCAAAGAGCATTCTAGCCAGTCTGCTCAAAGGAAAATCTTCTGATAAAGGAGGAAAAGACATTTTTAGAAGGGACAGGCCCATCCTTTTCAATGTATCCAAGCCTAACATTTTAATCAATGTGCTCTACATTTCTTAAACCTGGGCTCTTATTGACTGGAACTACTCATACAAACTTTAAGAGGACAAAACATCGATGTTCCCAGGGGAGTGACAAGAACATCAACAACACTCATGAATAGGAGCGATGTTCACATGTACAACCACCATAGCAGGAAAGTCATCACCCAAATCAGTCATTAGACACCACAGTAAGGTGGGGTGTTTTTTTTAGTATTATAATTACTTTTTAAATAAGCAAATTTTAAAAAAAGCAAACTTTAAACACTGTTCAACTAAATAATTCAAAATCTTCAAATCAGAAAAGAGTCCCATTTTTAAACGTACCATGCCTACAATCTTCATCAGCTTGCCCATAGTTTTTCTGCAAAATAAAAGATACAAGATAAAATTAAGTAGTTCAAGGGCTGCTTTTAACAGAGATGTTATCAAAGAGAAGCTTGGCTTTGTTTCCAAGTTTAATCATTAACACTGTAAATGTAATATTCACAGAGCAAAGATAACTCATGTGCTGTCTGAAGATTACACTGTACTCTACAAATAAACATCACAGTTTACTTCCCTAGTCTACTGACTCACACTCCAACTTCTCACCTTCTCTAACCTCAACTCCCAGAAGCCCCTCCTGCAAACTCCTTCTCAGCCCATGGCTTTACTGAATTTCACAGACTGTCACACCACATCCAGCATCTCTCCAGCACACACTCCCTGCCTTCCTTCCACCTGCTACCAGCTGAACTATCCATGCTCCTTTCTAAAGTCAGTCCCACCAACCCGTGCAGATCCACTCCACCGCCTACTCGGGAACACCACTCAGGCAAGCCTCCTCTATTTCTCCTACATCAATAATTTTTTGCTTTCAATTGGTTCATTTCTATAAACAAACATGCTGTTATTTCTTCCATCCAAAAAAACCCTTCTCTGGACTTCACTTCTCCCAATAGCTACCTTTCTTTCTTTCTTTTTTTTTTAAGTGCCTCTTTGTAGGAAAACACTTCAAGAGCTGTCTATGTTAATGTATTTCAATTCCTTTCCTCTGATTCTCCCTAAGCCCTCTTTAATCAGATTTTCACCCATCACTCCAAGGAAGCTGCTGTCATGAGCACACCAGTGACCTCCATTATATCCAGTTAGAGTCCCAGTCCATAGTCACATCCCTATTTACACCAGTGACATGGCTGAACACTCCCTCACCTTGATACACTTTCTTCACGGGCTCCCAGGACACCTTTCTCTCCTCCTTTCCCTCTACCTCACCAGTTCTTCAGGCAGGTGGTTCTTTCGTTTCTTCCCAAACTTTTAACAGTGTAGCACCGCAAGACTATGTCCTTGGTCCTCTCCTCTTCTCTATCGACACTCATTCTCTTGGTGATTTTACCCAGGCTCAAGACCTTCTGTAGCATCTATAACCCACAGACTCTTAAATTAATCTCTCTCTCCCAAACTCCATCCTTGCATATCTGACTGCTTACTCAGCATCTCCAGCTGGATATCTAAATGACAATTCAATTCAGTATTTCCAAAACTGAACTCCATCATCCTCCACAAAACCTGCTCCCCATCCACAGCCTTCTCACCTCAGATGTAGGAAGCTCTATTCTTCCAATTGCTCAGTCAAAAAAAAAAAAACCCCAAAACCTCGAGGTAGGTTAACTGCGACTGCTCTCTCTCATTCCCTGCATCCAATACATCAGGAGATCTTATTGTTTATTGTTATCTCCTTATCAATCGGAACATAGCTACCTCTCACTATCTCCATTGCTATCATTTTGGTTGGAGCCACTGTCATTTCTGGCCTGGATTATTCCAAAGCTCTCCAAACTAACCTTCTTGCATTTACTCTTATCCCTTTATAGTCTATTCTCAACATAAAAGTCAAATAATTCCTGTTAAATCAGATCATGCCACTCCTCTCCTGAAATAGCTCCCCACCTCACACAGAATAAAACCAAAGTCCTTACAAAGACCTAGTGGGCCCCACAGGCACTAGTCCTTTTACCTCTCCCCTTCACACACTCTACTCCAGCCACCCCAACCTCCTAGCTCATCCTCGACCATAGCAGGCATACTTCTATCTCAGGGTCTTTGCTCTTGCTGTTCCCTTTACCTGGAATGCTCTTCCTCCAGATTTCTACCTGGCTCACCCCCTTACTTCCTTATCACCTCCCCAATGAGGCCTAGCTTGATCACCCTATTTAAAACTGTGACCCCCTCTCTCACCCCGGTACTTCCAATCTCCCTTGCCCTGTTCTCATTTTTTCATGCAGTTACTACCTTTTACCAATCTATAGTGTTTACTTATTTATAATGTTTATTATATCTCTTATTGGCTGACCCTCTACTAGGAAAAGTACCATGAAGAAGGGACCTTTCTCTTACTTTTTCATCTATATATACCAACTACTTCGAATAGTGTCCAACGCATACTATACACTCAATAAATATTTGTTGAATGAGAAAATAATCCCAAATGCTATATATTAGTACAATTTTCAAGGTTTAAAAACACAGTCGCTTGCCACCCAAGATGTTCAGCAATCACCAGCTACTTCACTAACATCTCTTTGGCCCAGAATTAGCTGACCTGTATAGTCCCCACTCAACGAAAAAGGCCATTTTACATGGTTCAGCACTGACACCAACAGTGCTTACTCACCAGTTGCAAAAATGAGGCAATTCTGTAAAGAAGACTCTCGATTTTGATGCGCTCGATCTCCGATGGACATGGCCCTGTGAAGTCTGCCATGGAGCACTGGCCGAGAGAAAGAAGCGCCTCTGTGCAGTGCTTGAGGGCCATTTCATAGTCCTGCCTCTTAAGTGATTCACATGCTTGTTCACATGACTTTTCAGCTCTTCTGTCTTCCATGACTCAGGGACAAAAATCCTAAAGACAGGGAGAAAGAACAAGTAAGAAAAGGTTTTAAAAACTTACAAATTATAAATTCTAGCCCCGTTCCTGTTTCAGCTGGCTTAATTATCTATCTGAACAGTTACTCTCAACTAGCCTTTTGATCAAGGTCACAGCTAAGCAGCAGCTATTGATGCTACAAAATCTGTACTTCTCTTTGATATTTTATGAAGTCTTTACTTAGATCCAAGAAAAATGTCAGCCATAAGCCAGAATCATACAATGATATCTCGAATTTATAAATGAGGTAAATTCATAAATGAAACATGACTTTGAATATTGCAAAATACAACAAACCATAAAAGATTCCTTTTTTAACCAAAGGTGCAGAAATGTTTCATGCCCACACCTCCAAATTTCAGCCTCCAAATTCTATGACTGTGACTGCAGAAAAGCAAAATCTATACCGTGTAGGATTTTTTCCCACCAATTAAAAAACTGGCTAAAACAAAAGTTCAAACTGTCCATTAATTCAATTCAGCAAACATTTCCTGAGGGCCAGGCCCTGTGCTAGCAGCAATGCATGCAAAGATGGTGAATGTCATCACTGCTTTCAAGAAACTCAGATTCTAGCAAGAGGCAAAGCACAAGTGAATAATTATAAGGAAGACTTATTCCATCTGCCTAAAGGGATGAGCTGGCTTCAGAAGGTGAAAAGGAGTTCACCACACAGATGACAGAGAGAGCAAGTGCAAGCTTCACAGAGAGAAGAGTTCAAGAGAAATCACCAAGGGGACAAAGTACAAGGCTTAAACCCAAGATGCATCAGGGGAGCAGGAGGAGCCATGAATGATCTCCTATGCCACAAGTGAGGGCTTTATACCATAGGCAATGAAGCATGATGGAAAGTTTTTAAATAAAGAAGGACCCTATCAAATATAAATTCTATGAAGAATGGGTTAGAAGGGGCAAACCCACAGGCTTCCCACAGGGGAAGAAGTGGCAGGCACTGCCATGAATAGGAGACCACTAAAATAGTTCAAGTAAGAGACAGTGAGAGCTCAAGCCCAGCTTCTCTCTAGCTGTCTCACTCATACAGCAGGGAGCAAAAAGCTGCACAGAGAAGATCTAACATCCTTTGACCTGATATTCACAGTACTGCTCAAAGGATCGCTCTTGCTGACCCCAGGTTCCTGTCTCTGTCAAGCCTGTAGACGGCTTTTCTTGCCTGTATCACCTCACTCACTGTCCTGCTCTGCCCTACCTTCCACCTCACCAATTGTCCCTTCTGCCTATACGCTCTCAGCCGGCCTCCTCAGTTTTGAAAATGACAACCTGGCTCTGCCCTCTCCTAGCTGTTCTGTGGACATCTGCTGCCTATAAATGGCAGCGGAAGATGAGGGAGAAAGTTGTTGACCAGCAGCCAAAAGACAGGAGCACAGAGACAGGCAAGATGACAGACATCAGAAGAGGTCTAAGCCCCTTCAACTGCTGAGATTCTTGGTATACCAAAAATTGTAGAAATATCTAAGGAAGAGGACAAGGAAGAGTTCAAAAAGGACTTCAACAGCTAGCACTTGTTAAATATGGATGGTACATACGTGGAGAACAATGTAAAATACTCTCTACTTTTCTCAGTTTGGAATTTTTAATTTAAAATACCAAACAAAAAGCATGGTTTTTAAAATTGTAGAATATTTAATTTAAAATACCAAACAAAAAACAACGGTTTTTAAAATCGTAGAATATTTTAAATGTTTACATTTAACAAATTAACACCTTTAACATAAAAAAATGAAATCTAATTATGTTATTGGCGAGACAGCCCAACAAATATTTAGAGTACTACCTCCTCATTACTACATGGCCTCCCTTTAAACTTCCTCAGCTTCCCTTCAGTGGACTATAATTTCCGGTTTGGTTTAAGGGAATTTAAATATCTATGTTATAGTTACTATAGATGCCCCTTATATAAGCATGTATTGATTTAGATGAATCAATTATCAAACAAAAGTCAAAAATGATTTCAGTATTACTACAGTGACTATGCACATTAGACATAAAATGGCATTACAAGATAATTGCTAATTTATGAAATAGACTAAGTTGAAACTACTGACATTTTGGGCTGGATAATTGTTTGTTGTGAGGGCATTGTAGGATGTTTAGCAGCATCCCTCGCCTCCATCCACTAGATGCCAGTACCATATCCCCTGACTTGTAAACAACCAAAAATGTCTCCAGACATTAGCAAATGTCCCCTGGGGGGCAAAATCAGCCCTAGTTGAGAACTAATGATATAGACAAGCATACACTGTTTGCTTGCCACAAAACAACAACAGTAGGCGGATAAATCCATGGATACCAAAGACCGAAGAATTAGCAGATCTTCCCTACAAGACTCCTAGCCCACATCTAGACAAATAATACAAAAAGAAGTCATATGAAAAGCAAAACTATTACGTTTTGCACAAGCTACAATCTTTCTTGGGAAAGAGTGCAGTACAGTACCTCAACTTGCTTACCTCTAAATCGGTAAGAAGACGACTAACACCTACATCCTAGGGTTATTGTAAGGATTGAGTGAAACAGTATGTGTGAAGTGCTTAAAAGAACATCTGGCACATAATAAATGCTCAGTAAGTGTTAGCTATTGTTATTTCCCTAAAATCCCAAATTTTCAATTTATACAAAGTGAAAATTACTGTTCTCAACATACAAGAAAATACCGTTCTAAGTAACAATTTTACCTACTTGAATGAGGAATTATTTTCACCTATTTTCTCCATCTCAATAAATTGTTAATAATTATACAAGAAGAGCCATTAAAGAAATAAGTACATTTGTATGTCACTGATAAAAACTAGCTAAATCCTAAAACTGGCTACAAGGGGAGTTCACAAAGACTACTGTCAACATTAGTCACCAAACATATTAGCCAGGGAGATATTAATAACGTTAATAAATAAGTAGAGATTAGAGGAAAAGCTATTAATTTCAGGAGCTTTGGAGAGAGATGACTTAATTTACAGAGTTAATGTCTCTGATACTTTAGGCTCAGATGCCTACCTCAAAAGTGGATATTAAGGTTCCTACCACAATTACCTTTGTTAATTAGGTCCTGATAATTTGTTTCTAACTATGGTCTACCTAAACCTCACTAGGGGTACTTTGCCATAGTGTGGATCTCAATAGAAGAAAGGTCTCTGTTCAACTGTTTTCTCTGGTCTTTCAGAAGATAGCATGCTTTTGCTATACCCACTCTTTATGATGATGCTAAAGTGCTTTCCAAACATAAAATAAAAACTGCCGAAGTCAAAGTGAGAAAATGTCCCAGGCAATGCTAAAATGGAAATGTATACTAATGCAGTGAGAGATCCAGAACTACTTCTCCTATACAAGGCCAGATCCCAGATACACTTCATTGTCTAGGATACACAAATACATCCATATCTATTGTATATGATCCTGCTGCCTGGAAATAATAGCCAATCCTAGGGCAGACCAAGGTGGGTCTTTAAGTCTCTCCCCCATGGGGACAGAGAAGCCCAGAGAATGGAAGTCACTGAGGCAGAGCTGCATTAAGCATACCAATGTAGGAAGAAGCACCACATTCCCCATTAGCCTTGATTCTTTCTCTTCCTCTCAAAAATTATCCAAACTTTCACTAAAAGAACATAAAACCTGTAACTTCCTGCAAACTCCTAACCCATGGGGAATATTTACTTGGAGGATGTGACTTCAGAGGCAAGAAAGCTGGAATCAGAAACCAAGATTCTGGGGCCGGCCCGGTGGCGCACTGCTACAGTGCGCCGCTTGGGAAGTGTGGCGGCGCTCCCGCCGAGGGTTCGGATCCCACATACAGACCGGTTCCCGCTCACTGGCTGAGTGAGGTGCAGGGAGCAACACCGAGGGTTGCAATCCCGTTGCCGGTCCCGGGCCGGTACGGGCGCGACACTGAGGGTTGCAGGGAGCAACACAGAGGGTTGCAATCCCATTGCCGGTCCCGGGCCGGTATGGGCGCGACACTGAGGGTTGCGATCCGTTGCCGGTCATGAAAAAAGACAAAAAAAGGAAAAAAAAAAAAAAAGAAACCAAGATTCTAATCTAAATCCACCTCTGATCTGTTGCTGACCTATAAAAGAGACTAACACTACCATACAATGAACATCAGTTGTTTTGCCACCCAGTACCCATTCCCTTTCCTGTAATAAAGGAAAAAATCCATAAATTCCCTTTGAGAATTTACCTACCCCTACTCTTAGTCCACGTGGCTCCTGAGAAGCTAACTCCTACAGGGCTCCAGAGGTGGCATATGACTGGAACTGGCCAATCCAAACCTCACACAGACCCCAACACAGGGACTGGTTCCAGGTAGGACGTGATCCCTTAAGAGCCAATGAGACATCATGAGACTTTTGCTGAGGCTTCTGGGAAAGAGGAAGATGCTGTTTCCTGCTGAATCTAAAATCTGAGAAGCTACAAGGACTGAATATACTGCAGCCATTTTTCTAACATATATTGCCAGCAACTGAAGTCTATATAGCAAAAGGCAGAATAGATTTATGGGGAGAAACTGAATTTTCATATTACTTGAGCCCTGAATCCAGCTAGCTGTGCCTGGACTTTGCAGTTAGGTGGGCCAAGAAATTTCTTTTTAGCTTAAGCCAGTTTAGGTTGTTATTTCAGGCAGCTGGAACCAAGAGAATCCTAATATAAATAATGAGGGTATTTTTTAAAGTTTGTGAAAAAATAGAGTTAAAAGATAGTACAAATCTTTCTATGAACTTTTTGAAGACCTTTCCTGTGCATACATATATATATTTTGATTAGTACCAAATAAGCTGATAATTGTCTTGTAATATACAAGCATATATAAATAATTATTAACAACACTGATCAGAAGTTACTGATTACCAATAACAATAAATGTAAAGAGAAAAAAAGAAATAGACATGTGAGACAAATAGCTTAGTGTGATATTTGGTTATTTTGCATCTTAGCACAATTGGGGAAAGAACAAAATTGAGAAAGTG